GTTAATGAATGAGTCACCAACAGAGGATCTGTCACACAAATATCTCTTTATGTACTATATATAAAACAAAAAAGCTTAACTCACAGCCTAAGAGCTGAGTCACACCAGCATTTATAACTATGAAATTATAGTCAAAGACAAAAACTTTAGTAAAGTCATGTCTGGAGTAAAGACAGTGCTGGTTGACTTGCCCAGAAGTCTTCCTTGCCTGGAGGCAACCAAATGGCTTTCTGGCTGTTTGTCAGGTATGTGCAAGGCCTGTGCTGGCCATGTTTACCAGATGCACCATTCCCTCAGGTGAGCATACTACAGCTGGCAGCTCCAGGATCCAGCAAACCCACTGGCCCTCAGCCAAAACATACTGGATGATGTTCGATCCTGACAACTGGCCGGAAAAATAATTGACCAATCAGAGTTTTGTGAACAGGATTAAGAAAAGGCTTATTATTTTCCTACATCTATTCAATCTATTCAATTCGATTAAATTTTTCATTTGTGTAGCGCAAAATCATAACATACATTATCTCAAAGCAACTTACAGGGTGAGGCCAAGACCTTACAACATGAAAAATACTGACAGAAAAAATGGGCTTATAAATAGTGTTAAATTTATGATAAAATTGTTGCAGTTGTACAGGTTGTTTTAAGTCAACTTACATGTGTATATATGACAACTTTAAAATGGCATGTTTCTTAGATCTTTGTGAAAAACATTAAAGTAACTCCTAGCAGCTTCTGTGTTGACTTAAAATGACACTGGCCCTCCCAAACACACCCATTCTGTAACAGAACATCAGACTGAATGAATGCAGTTAAACATTTTGTTTAACTGCAACAATTCAATTTATATATCAGGCTAACAACAGCTGTGCAGTGTAGTTTTTAACAAATGTTAAAGGACGCAGGAAACTGCCCAGGGAATCAAGACTCTCATGGGCCCTGAAGGCCCTCTGTTGTCTGTGAGGCAATTATTTTGTGGCAGTCAGATTAATTACAAATTCGTTTAGTAACATGCACCACTAAAGCCCAATTAAAACCTCAAATGGTAAAAGCTCTATGATGGCTGGTGTATTTTTACCCAATCTAACCAATATAGTTAATTTTCACCCCTGGGCTCTAAGAGAGTTAATCTGTCCCTGCTGTAACAAAGTAATTGTACTTCAAGTATTTAAATTTTAAGATAAACTTCTAATCCACTGTACTTTTTACTCTTCTACATCTTTCTGATAGCTATAGTTACTTTGCAGATTAGTTTAAGAGTGAGTAATGTCCATATGGAATACCATGTAATCCTATACAGTAAATTATTTCAACCAACAGTATATAAAATTTGCCCTACCTCCACAAGCTTCACCTTAAAAATACTGCATACACATTAATGCATCAAATAATAATCACTCTGTAATATAAACTGTAAGGCGTTTCATTGATTGGTATTGGTATTGATATTTTTATTTAAGTGAAGGTCCATAAATTGTCTTCCTCCACTGGTTCAGATGAAATGAAATAAGTTCTCTCTGCTGGTGTGTGACATAGTTTTTATGTCACTTTCTACAGCTGACTAGAAAAACTGAATTTCTATGAGGATTAAAAGAAAAAAAAGATCCAACTGCATCTCAGGCGCTTTGTCTTGTGTTTTATGTTCATTTTTTAGTAAATTCTACTGAATGCACTCTGAGAAAGGGACTTTTCCAGATCCTCTTCATAAGCAGTCATATTATCATAAATCCATTCCAATGTAATCCTCACTCTCCACCACACTGTGATATTCTTCAGTATGAGAAGGGCACCTCAGACTGTTTGAATAGGAAATGATTGCTGAGTGTGTCTGCCTCACACAGGCAAGTGCTCTCTGTGCTTAAACCTGCAGGCTACAGATCCCCTGAGATCCTCTTCAGCGCCACTGAGTGGGCTGTTAATGTCAATCAGCTTCTGTTTGTTTCTTCACTTTTGATTTTCTTCATGTCTACTGTAGAACATATTCTCCGGGGGGTGACGTTTGTTATTCAACAGTCTTACACTTAGTATACAATTAGGTCTGGATATAATGAATGTCCTTTTAATGTTACACCCTTTTAAATTAACTCTTTATTCATCAGTTTGTACCTGTGAAATGCAAAGCTTGGCTTCTAATGATTACTATTCATTTTGGCAATTGACTTTGGTCTAGTGTCTTTTTTTAATTACATTTATATTATGATTTTAGATCAAATAAATTTAAGAGAGTTTAAGAGTTTTCATCAGTGAAATTTAACATCATGGACAAGCTGGTAAAAAAGGCTGAATCTGTGCTTGGCAGGAGTCTGAACTCGCTCAGGACTGTTGTGGAGAGACGCATGCAATGTAAGATGGAGGCCATCTTGGACAATACCAACCATCCTCTCCACATCATTCTGCCAGGACAGAGAAGCAGCTACAGCTGCAGCAAACATCTCATCGCACTGCACTGCAGAACACAAAGGTTCAGGAGATCCGTTGTTCCCACTGCCATCAGGCTTAGCCAAAGGAAGTGGACTAATTTAATTATTATTGTTTATTTATTATTAACAGTTTTTATTATTATCAACAATGAGCTGATGGATACATGAATTTCCCATAGGGGATAAATAAAGTATCTATCTATCTATCTATCTATCTATCTATCTATCTATCTATCTATTTTTTATATTTTTTAAGTATTTTGAGGTTGAAGCTGTCACCACGCTTGATGTTGGCATGTTTACATTTGTTCTCATCTAACAGGAGGTTAGCAGAAAAGGCAGTTTAACATACCACACAGCGATACAACAGATTTACTCTCTTCTGTAAATCCAGTTGTCAAACTCATTGTACATTACATTGTATCAGGGTGAGATCAAATCATGCAGTAATACTGCATGATTTGATCTCAACCTGATAGAATGTAATACCAGAATCATTCAAATCTGTACAGATACTGATACTTTATAAATCACCATCCATCCATCCATCCATTCATCCATCCATCCATCCATCCATCCATTTCTTACACAGATGACAGATGTGCACTTAGAACGTCCACCATCCACACCCAAGCGACTCAGCTACTGTTAATAAATATTCCACTTCATTCATTCAAATATATCCTCCCTTTAAACATAATCCAGTGATAATGTTGCAGTTTAGTTGTATAGAAATGTAATTTGTAGAAGACAGGGTTGCTGTGACATACTTTACAGTACAGATACATTCCCCTAGTAATAGTATGTGTAAAGGAGACTGTATGTCCCTATGGTCCTGAGAGACACACTGTGAGGCAATTCAATTCAAAGACCAGGTGATTGGTAGCAAAACCTTATTTTCCAAGTATCGATCGTGGGGGCAACCAGCAAAATGCAAAAATCTCAGCAAGACAAATCTGCTGTCACGCCTTACAGTAGAAATCAGGCAATCAATGTCATATACCTCCAGTGGGGCCTGTATGAACATAATTCCACTCATTGGCGCTAAATAGTGAAAACCCTTGGGTTCATCAATCATCAATTCAAGGGGCACTCTTTAGTTAATAGTCTGGTCTTTTACTGCTGAACAGCCACTGCCTTTATCTGTGTGAGCTAGCAGATACTCCCTGGGAGCAATATGTTTTATTTTGATTGCTGTATTCTCTTTCTCGCACAGCTTGTTGGGCTATAATTCCTAATTTGGAGCTGTCGGCATTTGAAATTGAAGCTTGAAGCAAAGATTGATTATCTCTAACCCCCATGGAATATATTTGATTGGTCAGTTTTGTCAAAATGGCATGCTCAAATGTGAAAGTCAATATTTCCTGAATGATATAATGATATAGATGATATAGATGATAAACATAAGTAATATCTCATGACGCATCACTTCACCCACTACAGAAATATGTTCTTGTAGTGGAAGAGCCAGCTAAAGCCCTTCTAGGGCCTTCAACTGTAACCCCCTTTCCACTCATCCAGCTCCTTGAAATTCCACAGAATTCTTAAATAATACATACAGGCATATTACATCACAAGCATATTATATAACGGCACTGGGAACATTAAATACTGAACAGAACTTTTAAAAAAATCCAGCGCCCTGACCTTGTACATGTAGCATTGACCACCTTGATATAAAAGATAAGCTATAAGATGGATTTAGGGGAGCTACTGGGTGTTGTTAGAAATTCAAAGACAGCCCTTTATAGGATCTCTACACCAACACAAGTAGTTTCACTTACTTCACTTAGACCTCACCTCAGGCTGAAGGCAGGGGGCGCTGTGCTGTGAAAGGTACTCGATGGAATGTTTGACCACCAGTGGCCCTGTGGAGAAATGTTTTAATGAGCTGGTCTCAACTAACACCCACAGAAGTCCATGAAATAGTACACACACCTCTGGTTCTATCCTGTTGCACTGATGCACAGTTGGTGATGGTAGCTTACAAAGCAATGTGTTAATGTGCAAGTAAAGAGCAAAAGAAGACAGTAACACCTCATATAATATGGGAGTAACAGAACAGTTACATTTAAGCCCAAGCAAATATTCATTCAATATTGAATTATTATGGATAATTTTATTTTATATATATGATGAATTGTTATGCTTGCATGGTAACACCATGTTCTGCTGACCAACTGGGCTCTGACCAAAAGAATTATTATTTATTATTAGCAGAATTTGTTAATTAGAACTGAACTTTACCTATCATTAATTCTAAATTACACAGATTAAATTAGACAGGGAAAATTCTTGGAAGTTATAAGGGCATCATATGATAGTGTTACCAAAGAAGACTAGCTAGTTAGCAAACATGCATGTAAACATTGCAAGTTTCAAATTAGTCCAGGCATTGGCTTTGCAAATTTTTTATGAAGAAAGAATGAATGAATTCAACACATTTTTAGGCCTCAAGTACACACACAGTGTTACTGCAACCGAACAGTAAAGCGAACAGGAGACTCAAGGAGAAACGTAGCCAACCACATGAAAAATATGATATATCAGCTGATGGATGCTTTTCTCTCTCTTCCCCAGGTTACAAGTGCCCATGTGAAGTCAGGAAGCCCCAAATCAACGCTAAAGCATATATGGACAGAAAGCAGTAAGGATATGTCAATCAGTAGGCTGCTATCACAGACTCTGCATGGCAAAGAAAACAGTACAGCCTTGGACCTTCACTATGACACTCCAGAGCCCTACTCGGAGCAGGACCTGTGGGACTGGCTGAGGAACTCCACAGACCTGCAGGACTCGCGGCCACGGGCTAAACGGCGGCCCATGGTTAAGACAGGAAAATTCAAGAAGATGTTCGGCTGGGGAGATTTCCACTCCAACATCAAGACGGTCAAACTCAACTTGCTGATCACTGGTAAGATTGTGGATCATGGTAATGGCACTTTCAGTGTCTACTTCCGCCACAACTCCACTGGTCAGGGAAACGTGTCAGTCAGCTTGGTCCCACCCACCAAGATAGTGGAGTTCGATGTGGCTTCACAGCAGTCTGTCATCGATGCAAAGGACTCAAAGTCCTTCAATTGCCGTATCGAGTATGAGAAGGTGGAGAAAGGTGCCAAGAACACGCTCTGCAACTTCGACCCATCCAAGACCTGCTACCAGGAGCAGACCCAGAGCCATGTTTCCTGGCTCTGCTCCAAGCCTTTCAAAGTCATCTGCATCTTCATTTCCTTCTACAGCACCGACTACAAACTGGTGCAGAAAGTGTGCCCAGACTACAACTACCATAGTGACACACCCTATTTCCCCTCTGGGTGACAGTCCCATACTCACTTTCACCATGGACAAGCAGAGTACAGACTGGGGCCTCTACCCATTCCAGAGAAATGTGTATGTTAGCCGTTATGTCCCTAAACATGTCCACACCAGCGAGTCAACCATCCCAAGTGATTTTCCAATTTACTGTTCTGGATTTTGAGGGAGTTTTATCTGTTAACTGTTGTTAAAAGAAAGTATGTAAAGAAAGTAATGTGCTTAAAATGACCTGAAAAACTCTGATTACTATAATTATTATCAGTTTGAATTTTGTTGCTGAATTATGTTTTATCCCTGTTGAACCATGTGTAGCTAACTAGGGCTTATTGGTCATTTGTTTTTTTTAATCCTTTTTTTATCCTATAAATTCTGCCCTTTGTTTTTACTTCATGTTTAGTTCACACTCTTTATCAAATTACATGTTTGTAACCATGTTTTCCTCTTTTAGCATATTTCATATGTAATACATGAACTCTCTGGACAACAACATATTGACTGTTTGCCCCTGCTGTGCTATTTACACTCTGCAGTTCATCCTGCATAAATAGAAAACAAAATTAACTCCTCATTTAAAAAGAATAAAAAACAAAATAGCTAGCTCAGATGTTTTTTACAAAACCTGCAAGGCATCTGAAGAAGACAGTGGAGATTTAAATGTGAGTTTGATGCTTTTAGAAATGTAAGTTGGTCTTATCTATCTAGTGGTGAGCTTGGACTGAGCAGACGTCTCCCTCAGGCAAGTCTCATTCAGGAGAGAAAATGTGGTAAAGCGCTCAGACACTGAAACGCTGTCACTCCTCAGCTGTGCTCCTGCTAGTGCAGACAGATGTTGAGTTTGTTGGGTGATTGCTTCATTCTTGGCTGATTGAATGTCTGATTACATGACTGATTGATCAGTGATTTGTTCAGGGAGATGGGGCTTGCTCATTGTCACTTAATATATCAAATGTAATGTATTGAATTCTATATCTTAGAGCCTAATTTGTATGAATGGTTTGTATTGTACATAGTTTATCCCATTTGCGCTACTTCTATACATGCCCCCATGAGCTGTGTTCCACTTCCCGCTATGTCCTCTTGTTCACTCATTTATGCTCGTTCTTGACTCCTCTAGCAAAGAAAATGATGTTGCTGCCCTAGATGTGATTTTCATGAAAACAGCAATCCTGTACATAAGCTGTAAAACTGACTAAATATATTAAAAGTATTCATTGAAATTTTCTTTACTGAGGGGTGGGGTGGTGGGGTGGTGGGGGTGGGGACTGGAGATGTACATATGAATTAAATTTTATCAACTGAATGCTGGTACATTGGAGTTCTTACTGTGACTTTCGTCCTAATGAGTCAGAAATGATTTGTTGAAGTTTACATATCAGTGTACCTGTCAGCTGTGGAAGAAGAAAGGGCGACAACACCAGGCACCAGTGTCTAGGGACAGACTGAATTACATCATAGTAGTTTCAAGTTGTAGATAGATAGATAGATAGATAGATAGGTAGATACTTCAGCTAATTAATTAACTAATTGTTTACAGAAGGAGCAAGCCCAAGCACATACTTGTTTCATCATCACAATGGAGTGTGTATCTTACACTCTCTAGTATTAAGCATTTTGTTGCGTGTGCTCAGGATAGTGTCCCCTCTGCTACTGCTAAGCCTCGCCCTTTGGGAAGTTTTTTGAATAATGGCAGCCACGAATTGATGACATAAGAGAGATGAATAGGCCACACTCACATCCATCAATCAATATGACACCTCAAAAAGATTTTTTTACAATAGCTGCACATAGAAAGTAACGTATGATAAGATTAGTGGAAAATCATGGTTATGCCAAATAAACTATGGTTCAAGTTTGAGGGTTAGTTCACTAGCATCGGGGTCGGGGTTAGGGCTATGCTTCATGAAAGATTGTACCTATGGTTTGAAAAAAGATAATATTAATTGTTCACCCAATTCTCCTCAAGTCTGCTCACCCAAAGGACAGTGGTTGTTTATGGAAGGAAGCAAGGAATTTGTTTTTCAGGCTAGCGACTGTTTTAGCAAACAAAGTGGCATTGGCATTATATCACTTTGCTGAGGCTTCTGTTCATTTAAAACAATTATTTTCACTTATCATGGAGTCCAGTTGTACTGTATCACAAAAACAACAACTGAACAACTGACGCGAGTTATGCAGATCAGTGAAAATTGTCAGGGTGTTGTGGCAAGTAGGACCCAAATGCAGCCAACGCATGGGAGACGGTGCAGACAGGTTTATTAAACTAAAAAGGCTTACACAACACGGGGGAAGAACAGGGAAACACAGGAACTTAAACAAGAAACAGGTACAAGAAACATGAACAGACTGAGGACAAACCCAGAAATCAACAGAGAGACAACAGACGAACCGACCAAGACAAAGGGGAGCACAAAGACTATATAGACAAGGGAGGCAAGGGTGATTGAACACAGGTGAAACACATTAGGGCGGGGCAGACAATCACCACACAGAAAACAGGACCAAGACAGGAAGCAAAACACTGAGACACACAAGGAAACCAATTACAAAATAAAACAGGAAGTGCAAAAAGTCCAAACAAAACTAACAAAAAGTGTCTGCCATAGCAAAACATGACAAAAATGTACAGAAATCTGCACTGTGACTACAAGCCATAGAACTGTGAGAGCGCTGTGGCTGCAGACAGTCAGAAACCTCACAGTCACTGACGGGTGGACAAGGGGGTGAAAAACTGTGATCTTTTATCCATATGTACAATAAAGAAATGGAACCTTCTTGAGCAGAACCTTGAAGCTGAATGCTGCATACAGGTGAAACGGACACTGTTGCACTTATTATTTGTATTCAGAGCTGGCACAACATAACATTCATTGAGATAACCAAGTTTATTAAAGCTGAAGACAAACAAAATATGTGTCACATGGCTGCAGCTCGCGCCAAAACTCCTTTCTCCATCCCACTCTTGGTGCCTGTACAAGGATACAGCGGACACAAAGAACTGGTCCCTTTTCAACCAGCCCTCAGATGCAAAATCAAAAAGTGAAGAATATAAGACAAAATCAAAATTAAGTACTTACACACTGGAATTACTTTACTGTGGCATTTTTTCAGGCTTTTTATGCCTTTATTACAGTAGCAGTGAGAGAGAGACAGGAAAGTTGGGGGAGAGAGAGGGGATGACATTCAGCAAAGGGCCTAGGGTCGGATTCTAACCCAGGCCGCTGCGGACTGAGTACTGAAGGCACGCGCTCTACCAGGTGAGCCACGAGGTGCCCCTTTATTCTAACTTTTATTAAAAGCAAACAACGCTTTTCCCTTCTGGTCCATTCATGTTCGCTAAGCAAGAAACAAACCGGAGCAAACCTGACAAAGCCACAGGTCAAACGCGTTGTATGCTCTTAATGCAAGTCATTTCAATGTGCGATGGTTAAATTTGATATTTACTGAAGATGTTCCTGTAACAAACTGGCACCTGATTACTAACAATGGCTGTGCATGGGGAGTTCTTCAGTAACTTAAGACTATTGTGAATAACCTCTACCTGATGCTCTGCCCCTATTATGAAGCCAATCCTTTTTTAAACATAACCATTTCAGTTACTCTGGGTAATGTTTGTAATAGTAACGTTATAGTATACTGTGGTATATTATCACAATAATTTGCATATAAAGGATTCCTTTTGCAGCTATACAGAAAATGTGGGGATGAATCATTGTGTTTTGTTAGTTATTTGGTTGTACAATGGCAGAACAATGGCAGCACTTCATTTGTGCTGTAAACTGAGCCTTTATTTTCCTGGGAGATTTCAGACCCAGTGGCACACAGAGGCGAGCCTAAACATCGATGATTTACTTCATATACATTAAAGCAAAAAACCTAAAGTCTGCAACTATGCTTAAGTGTTAAGCCCCTTTCATTGCTACTGCTGCTGTGTTTTTTAAGATCAATGTGAATGGTCACACATTGATACTTATAGCTCCACTGGATTAAAAAACTGTCTCTGCTCTTAATTTACCTGTTTCCATGGTGATTTTTCTCATTATTAATCTATAATAACACAACTCTCTCAGATCAACTACGCATATCACTTTAATTCAAGAAGAGATGTACCAATTAAAACTGACTAGGTAATCATAAGAAGTTTATGTTGGGTTATCTCGCATGAATGTGTGTTTTAAAAGCACTAAGAAAACCAAGAGAAGTGTGAATATACTTTGACCAAATGCAACTTCAGCCCCACATTATTATCTCTTCTTTGCTGAAACAATACACACTGGAGTCTGGCAGTGACACAATCACTTTTAAAGTTCATGTTGTGTATCAGAGAAGAACAACTTTGGTAAGACTTGACTGCAATGAAGACGTCATCTGGTCCAAGTATTTGTGCTTGTTGAACAAACACATCAGCCAGTTATATGAAGAGAATAAACGTGCACATTAGCATTTAAACGCATGACAGAAAGAGCATAACAGGGACAGACCTGAGTGTTTCTGATGTGATGGAAAATGTAAATAATGAATAATAATCAGACACAGTCACTTTGCTATTCACTATTTTCTGCCTCATAGGTTTTCACTCAAATGCTTTTATAATGGATTTTTGAAGTTACAATGAAAACTAACATCACCAATCTCTTCAATGCATCATATTTTAAATAAAGCTATTTAACTTCAGTCTAAAGCATTTATAGGTTATGTTATTGAACTGGTTTGTTGTAGAGATCCAGAAATAAATTTTCAGTTGTTCACACAAAGCCTAAGACTCACTGTTGTACTCTTCATCCTCAGTGGAACCATCCACTTCATCCCAAAAATAAAATAGTTAATTACAGGCTGGCAACTTCAATTCTGTTTCCTGTCAGTGTGCATCCTCCACACAGGCTTCCCACTAGACATCTCTCCTCACTACACATACGTGTTTGGAAAAAGGCAACAAATAAACAAAAAATTATGTTTCTGTATCTTTTTTGTCTGTTTGCATGTTGTCATGTTCTCATGTTCTCGTGGGTTTCCTTTGCCACTCTGGCTTCCTCCCACAGTACAAAGTACAAGTTATATAGTCTGCCCTATATTTTCATTTAAACACGTAGTAGATAGGTCAATCTACCTATCTATCTATCTATCTATCTATCTATCTATCTATCTAATCTATCTATCTATCTATCTATCTATCTATCTCCATATTTCCCACGTGTATAGTGTACAAACAGAGAGTATGTAAACAGTCTGTGGAAAGCGTCACATTGCTCCCACAGTGAAAGCGACCCAGAACACAAAAGCTCTGTGCCTGACTATAATTACTTCTTGGAGCTCCTTCTGATCTCGCACCATGTGTGATTGAGCAGATTTCCTAATAATCAAGCATGCCAGAAAGTTGGACACATGGAGGCGAACTTGTATTTCAGTCCCTGGGAGATGTGGAGATTGGGATGCAAGACTGATAGCGTCTGTTTTGGGACTTCACAGTGGCACCTGCCATCGAATCCTCCAACTCGGCAGTTAGGATCAGCAGTCGGCTTTAAACAGATTAGAGCCTCTGGGGGAGGGAAATCCGCTGCCTTTAGCTAGCTCACAACTTATCAGTAATTAAAGTGGATGCCAGGTTTGTGTGTTCATTGGCGGCCTGCAGGGTACTTTTATCGCTGTCCTCATTAAGGAGCTGCTTCAGTTTGCCCTCCATGCTCACTTTAACAAGCCTGCAGGGATTTCTTGAACATGTGATAGTATATGGCTAAATACCATCAGAGCAGAAGCAAACACATGACACAACAATTCCTGTTAATTGTAAATGCAACGAATATATAGAGCCAGTTTTTTCAACATTTTACTGGTGCCATTGAGGAAATGTTTTGATTTGATTTTCATGAGGATCCAAAAGGGAACATTACATTTTGTATGGACATTGATAAATTATGCAGAGTAAAATAAAGGGTGGTCATTAGCACTGTCGCCTTGCAGCAGTAAGATTCACCGAGGGCGTTCTGTGTGGAGTTTTCATGTTCTCCCTGAGCCTGGGTTTTAAGTGTCTTAAATGTCCTTTAATGTTCAATGCCAAAAGTTTTACTTTTACAATGACTGTGGTCGTGGAAAATCAACTGCGGCTAGAGCAGGGTTAAGGTTGGGCAACTAAACACTTGGTCAATATTAGGATTAACTTTATAATATCTGATGTCTGTACAAGATCAAT